TGATAGGATGGGGTTTCGTTAAGAGTCATGTAGCCATAGGGAAAGACGGATTTGTCAAAAATTACATGACATGAGATGATAATTTTTCGAGAGGAGGGATCATAGCATCGAAAACCGCTATGAAAGGTCGGAAGTCCAAGGAAAACTCATGGAGTGATGTATGGTTGTAGTTTGTAGGATATAGTGAGATTAGAGTAACAAAGACAACCAAACAATCTGAGTTTGGATTAGGTTGGATGGTGTTTGCGGAGGTGAAAAAATGGGATGCCATTTTGAATGACATAGGATGGGGTGATGTTTAGTAAATAAATAGCCATATATAATGACTCTACCCAAAAATGTGGAGGGAAGTGAGATTGGAATAACATGATTTGGACAACATTATCTACAGTTCGTATCATGTGTTCAGATTTATCATTTTTTTGAGAGGTATGTCAGCATGAAAAGCGGAAAGAAATGCCATTTTTGGCAAAGAAATCATGAAATAAAAGATTATCAAACCTCCCACTGAAAAGCTTTTAGGTTGTTCGGAATTGGGTTTTGACAATGTTTATAAAGTGAAGAAACTTTCTAAAAACATCACTCTAATGTTTTAAAGGGTAGAACCAAAGAATATGAAAGTAGTGGTTTAGAAATATAACAAAATAATGAATACCACTAGAGCTAATAACCGATGATGCCCAAATATCATAATAGATAATATTAAAAATATCGTTCACAATAGAATTTGAATGAAAAAAATGATAAACGCACAAACATTCCAAGTTGACAAGGTTCACAAAGAACATTATAATAGTCTTTATTTCAAGAAATGAAATTATTTGAAATTAAAGATTTCAACACTTGGTTTCCAGGATGACCCAAACGTTGATGCTAAAGGGAAGGAATCAAAGCAACAAACATTTCAGGGGTTGGAGGACTGACATCATAGAGAGGGTCGACGCTATCACAACATATTAGAGGTTGTTTTTTCCTATAATCTTTGACAGTAAAATTATATTCATCAAATTCGATGGAACATTTATTTTGACGAGTAAAGAACGAACATAGATGAGATTTTTAATTATGTTGGGGGTGATAAGGACATTATTAAGGTAAAGTGTGCAAAAGAGGTTTCGAATGGGAAATATGGTGTGTCCCGTCACAATAGATAAAAGGAATACCATAGTTAGTTGGTTTTGAAAATACCTTCAATAGAATGAACATGATCGGTAGCACCCATATCAATAGTCCAACCCATATTTTCAGGATCATTTAATGAGAATATACTAAACATTTGTGGAAGCACGATGGGTTGATCCTTATAGTTTTTCTATGCTTGAGAGATAGGAACAAGGGGGCGGAAGTTGTGGCATAGAACTAGACCATGAAAGGTCACGTGGGACAATTTCAGTGCACCTCTGGGTTCATTTTGGTGTCCATGTGTGTTGATCTATTGTTGAGGAGAAGGAAACAGGCCTAGAAGGCTTGGCGAGTTGGATCACTGAAGCTGATTGGGCCATTGTTGTGGGATGAGGTTGTTCGGATGCCATGGGGTCTGATATACACTAGGAGGAAAGGCGTTTTGATGCAGCTGATGATAACCTGGTGGTGATGGGATAAAAACCCAACCAAACTGCTATTGAGCATGAAGTTGCTAGTCCGGTTGACGGCGACCGTAGTTGGGATGGCAATGGTAGTTCCGGCGAGATTGGTTGCTGTTGTTTCCTCCATTATTAGAGGGAATTCCCAATTCATGAAGAATAGTTGGAGAAGAAGTATGATCGATATAGTATGGTTCGTTATGGTAAAAATTTTGTTCTTATAGGGGAATAATGTCACGAGTACCTAGAAAAGAAGGAAAGGGTGAACGATGGTGCACAATGCTCGCGACATTGTGGTAGTTTGATGAGAGGCCATTTATTGCATACATCACAAGGTTTTTGACAACAAACTTGGAACCGAGCTTTTTTAGTTGATCAGGAATAACTTTGATCTTGGTGAAATACATTGCAACAGAGAGGTCACCCATGGTGATGTTTCGAAGTTCATTCTCAAGTTGTATAACCTGATAGTCTTTGTTGGAGTGGAAAAGATTCTCGATCGAGACTCAAATACCTCTTGTAGTTTGTCCATCTTTTAACATCATGTTGAGAACATTTTGAGACATAGAACCATAGAGCCAATGTTGGATGATGGATTCGATCTTTGCCCATTCAAGGTCCATGGATTTAGGGGTCGAGTCATTGATGTGATCGATCACATTGAAGGCTTTGCAATGTGTATAGAATAGAACTCTCCAAGAATCATAGTTAATCGTCCATTGTCTATGAGAAGTGGTATGTATGTTTTGATGTTGGTTATACCGAACACTTTGTTTGGAGGAGGAGGGACCGTATTGTTTGTTGTGGACATGGTGGAAGTCGGAGATTAGTTTCTTGGAGGGAAAGGATATGACGACAGTAGGATTAGTCCAAGTGATTGACAACCACAGAAGGAAGGCAGAGAAATCTGGTGGAGTAAAGGTAAGGAGGGAATATTTAGGAGATAGATAAAGTAGGTAGAATAACTAAAATTTGGAGCTCTAATACCATAAAAGTGAGTATTATTCTCATTGATTTGCAATAAACATGTACAAAACAATATATACAGATACAACATGGGCCACAAGAGCTGAGATACTAACACCCCATTCCCGAGTTCAACTTAACGAGAGAAAAGAAAGGAAATGGGTGGAAATGAGAAGAAAATAAAAGAAATTGATTTTTCCAAGTTTCAATAAAGGAAGGAAGTGGGAGAAATGGAAGGATCACTTTCCCTCCTAACTTTCCTTCAAATTTGGAAGGATTTGGAAAGAAATAACAAAATTATTAATTTTCCTTCCACCTCTCTCCAACTCGGGAACACAAAAAAAATTTGTTTTCCTTTCCTTTCTCTTCTTTTCTCTCTTGACTTTCTTTTCTCTTCTTTCTGTTTCTTTTGTTAAACTTGGGAACTTGGCGTAAAGACTACCACATAAGTATACATGAGCTTAATACAAGAGAATTATCCGCTCACAAAATGACGTGTGAGTTTAGGGAAACATCGGATATGTAAACGAATGGAAGTTAATTGGAATGGGTAACAATTAAATCCCCCAATTTCTCTTTCCAATGTTCGATTTACCCACATTCTGTTCCAGAATTACAAACTACTTTGCTATAAGTATCGGTTATAGAGTGTAAAGTGAGGCAATGCCCTAAGGGTTAATGACTGATTTACGAAAGAAACTTAAGTTCTACCCATTTATATAATAAAGTGAATTTATTGCCAATTTTAAGCAGTCAAGTTTTAGTTTGTTACCAATATCATTTTACCAATATATAAAACAAAGTATCAAAAATGATTAAAATTTTGATAACAAATTGAAACATGGTTACATAGTTTGGTAAGAAATTGTACATTTGTTGCATAAATAAGTCCTATATCCTATGTCAACTAGGATATGAATTGATGTATTATTGTGCGTGTTTTGGAATAAGTTGGAAAAAAAGGGAGTAATGTGTCGGATTTGTGTAGTGGAAGTGGATATTTTACATTTCTATATATTGTCTCAAAAGGTTAGACTCAATGGCCAGGTTGGTTTCTCACTCTTTCCCCATTCACTTATCATTTGGTAACACCTTTTGGTATGATTTTTACACCTTAATCTTGTATTCTAAATATGAAATTAATCTGAGTTGTTGTAAAAAGGAGTTGTTATAAGCAAACTAATAACCCTGATATCTTCATTGTTTTCTACAATTTTTAGGTTACTAGCCTTAATTTCTCAAGAGTACAACTAATTTTTGCTTCAAAGCGACAACATTTACATGCAAAAGCCTGCTATTGTAATCTTAAGTGAGCATTAGTATATCTAGCTCTGGTTTATGTAAACAATGTATTGGTAAATGGTAATAGAGATTTTTTTTTGTTTCAGGTCTAATTTGGTAATTATGTGATGTCTTATAGGTGGGTGGAAGGTGATGCACTTTACTTTCCATGTCCTGATTGTTATTTTGATTGCTATGAAATGTAGTTGATAATTATAAGGCAATGAAGGAGGTGCATCGCGTCATTGTGCTTTAAAACCAGGTTTACTTGACTTCAATAAAAACAATGATGAATTTAGGACATTTATTCAGGTTTTCTCGAAGTACAATGTTGTTATATGAAGGATTAAAACTATGATGTTATAATAAACAATTAAATAGAAGTGTTTTTCTATTTCTTGCATTTAACCCAATAGCAATACACTTTCCCATTTTAGGAAATGTACTTTTCTCTACCCAAAATAGTAACATACTCTAATTTTTGTCCATTTTATTAATAAATTTGGGATCTTTGTAACAGGATTGGACGATAGACAATATAGTTGTGCCTATAGTAGCTGGTTATCGTCTTACAAAGGAGTATCGATATCTAAAGATCTTAATTCAAGAATTTTTAACAGGTTTGTTGCTTATTGTTGTATTGTGACAACACTTGCATATTCTTTTTCCATATAGATGGGACCCACAAAATGAAAATATTAAATAGAGTTCAGCTAGATACAAGAAATATCAAATTAATTATATTTATGTGTTTATTACAACATCATACTTTCGTTTCATTCTATCACCACACTTTACTTTCACTATTTTTCTTTATATGACATTATACCTTAAAAAACCAACCCAATCATGGCATTGTACTTTTTCCCCCCTTATTAGGTCAATTTAGTTGAAAAATCCTAAGATGACATTGTTATAATTGGGTACATTTCTTGAAATCTAGCGTTGTAATAAGAAGAATTAGAAGTAGGGTGCTTTAATATAATAAATAAATAAATGAACGTATGTGACTATTTGTTATATTTAACCTAATATTTTTTTGTAAATTCTTCTACAACTGACGAGGAATTGGAGCATCTCGCCTTGAAATAAGGGTTTTCAAGTGCTAAACATTATGAAATTTGTGGAGGACTCACGGGCAACTTGATTGTTGCACGATAAAACAAGCAAGAGATTTGTAACAAAAAAAGGCTTAATTTGCTATTAAAACTCTTACATATATACCTTTTGCTTCATTATTGGAAATCATGTTCATTACAAAATAATAGGAATCTACTTTTCTATTTTATACACAACATTCTAACCTATCAATAAATTAAACAACTTACCTAACTAAAATACATATTTAATCCTACAAACAAATTCACCCTCTCGTCACGATATCAAAATGATGAGACTGAGGACCATAGTAGTGATTTCACCAGTTATCGTGTTACATGACAAAATAGGTTTTATTGTGTTTGGCTTGTACTGGAATGATGCTAGTGACATGAGTACATGACTATCTCTTGATCTTTTGCCTGTGGAAATGACGTAAACACGGTTGTTGTTATCGATGATAGATAACCAGTGTTACCTCGGATAGAAATCACTATAGGAAATTGTAGCAACTGAACCAGAGCTTTCCCCTTGATGATCATGAAGTAACTGTTGTGTAATGTTGTTGAGTTCCATGGTTTTTTCGTCTATGAAAGGGGGATTAGAAGGGAGGGGTAAATGTTCATCATCTTTTGCCAACATTTTCAGTACAGTTGACATTGTTGGCCTTAAAGATGGAGCTTCTTGGGTGCATAGAAGTCCTACGTGTACAACTTTTAATGCATCTTTCTTGAAAATAGTGTTTGGGTAAATATCCATCAATAGATTCGGGTCGAAGATTTGCTCCACTGTACCTTTCTGGAAGTGCTTCCATGTCTATTCATAAATAAATATTCAGATTCTAAATTAATTAAAACAACATTCTTTTCTATGGTTTTATAATGTAAAAGAACTAGAAATGTTATGTATCAGGTGAAGGTTTTATACTTACGGTGGAGATTAAGCTGTCGGTATATTCCATTGTATTGCTTTTGTTGTTTTCCATTCCAGTGACTATTTCAAGAAGTAAAACTCCAAAGCTGTAGACATCTGCCTTTTCGGTTAACTGACCATGGGCTAGATACTCTGGAGCCATATATCCACTGGCGAAAACAAAATAAAAATAAAAAATCAATATATTATTTTAGTATTTGTTTATATCTAAAGTAACTTGAAAGAGACAATGGTTCTTTTTTATTTAATCAGACAAGACTCAATCTGGTAAGTTGTATGTGGATGTTTCTTTTAAACTTGATACCAAAAGAATGACTTACAGCGTACCCGCGATGGCAGTACTAATGTGACTTTTATCATCTTGAAAAGATCTGGCCAACCCAAAATCGGCTATTTTAGCACGAAGTCTCAAGTCTAACAAGATGTTAGCAGCTTTGATATCTCTATGAATAATTCGGTTCTTGGTGTTCTCATGAAGGTACACTAAGCCTTCTGTTGTACCAATAATGATTTGAAACCTCTTCTCCCAGTTTACTTCCTTTCCTTTTATTTCATCTGAAGAGCAACTCACAAATTGATAAATATATCTTTAAATCTCAGATATTGAAAATTTTAAAACTTACCAAAAATGAAGAGGTCGAGGCTCAGGTTTGGAAGATATTCATATACGAGAATGCTTTCAGGTCCTGAACAACTGCATCCTAAAAGCCTGACAAGGTTTTTGTGTTCAACACTGCTAATTATGTTAACTTCGGTGTAGAAATCTGCTGCCCTGAATTTGTTGTTGACGTAGAGCCTCTTCACAGCTATTTCTCGTCCATCCGAAAGAACACCCTGAGAGAAATATCACTATTGACTTTAGGTATATTAAAGTTCTATGAAAAAACTAAAACCTTCTTGTTGTACCCTTGGATGTGTTCTCAGTCTTTTGTTTATGCAAAAGACATAAATGTCGTCGCCATCCGCATCACCAAAAACAGCCTAAAAAAGCTTGTCTACTCCTGTTTAGTATAACAAACACAACCTTAGGTTGTCTTTGTTTCACTGGACGAGTCTTTTAGGGTTTTTTCGATGATGAGGATGAAGTGGCATTTAAGTATTTTGTACAGACGAAAGATTGAGAGTGGGTCCATGTTTCTCCTTGTCCCACCTTTTCGGTACAACAAAAAGTTGTAATTTTTTTTGTCTCTCTTTTTTGTCCAATGCATGTCAAAAGCAGTACATGAAAATCATGTTTTGTTCTGTAAGTCTTGTGGTTGTAGTATATTGTACTACCTTATAGACGGTTCCAAATCCTCCTTGTCCAAGCTTGTTGGACTCATCCCAATTTGCTGTGGCTTTCTCAATTGTGGAGTATTTGAAGTTTAAGCTACTATCAGTAAGAATCTTTGCTAGTTTCTCAACATCATAAGATCCTGGAAAACATTAAGGAATCGTAAATTATTATGGTTGTTTTCACAAATCCACAAACATTATTTATACTTGGCATTCAAGAATATGTTTTAACTTTTAATGATGTTGAATGACTTACCTCTTCTCATATGTTGTATATATCTGTGTCTCCGGAAGTATAAAACAATCATCAACGCAACAGCCAAAACCAACACAGAACTAATAATGGAAATAACAATCGCTACCATCTTCCCTATAAACACACACACAGATAAAAATTTATCATAAGTATGTTAGAATTCCATTTAACCTTCATAAATGTCAAATGCTCATTTGGAAGATTCAATATTTTGGTTATTATGATTTTAATTTTAACAATGGAGATATTTGTATTTAACCCATGTATTTAGCTATTTGTGTATATATTAACATTTATTTTTAGAGTCTACGAGTAAGAAATAGCAACTTATTCTCCCTTATTTGTTTATTCTAGCATCTTTTTTTTTTATATTACAAAATTGTACTTTATTTTTTTATTATGGTATTTTACTTTAAAAAATCCACCCAGTTATAGCATTGTATTTTGAAAAGTCTTTACAATTATAACGATGGAAATTGATTTGTATTTGGATGACACTTTATCATTTGGTAGAACTCTCAAAGAACAATGTTGAAGTAAGAATAAAAATCTACCAAGTATAGTGTGAAAAATCTATCAAAGTATACCAACTAACTTTGAAAATTTTAAACAATCATAAGAGTGAAAATTGTTTTCTGTTTGGATAACACTGTTAAACTTATTTAGATTTTAAAAAATACAACGTTGCAGTAGAAATAAAAGAAAATAGAAATCTATATTTAACAATTAAATGCAACCACATTGATATTTCTTGCATCTAACCTAACCCCTTTTTAATAGATATTCGGTATACATACCGACCATTTATTAATGAGCTTGATAGCATTGTTGTCAAGTTTTTTTACATATAAATCATAATTAAGTAATCATATAAAAACAATTGAATACCATTATTTTTACCTTTATTTTTCGAGCCACCTGTCTGTTGTATAGGATTTAGAAAATTTGTATCAGAATACCTCATAAAACACCCCGTATTCAATGCTCTGCCCTCCGACCACGGCAAACATTTCGATATCACCTCGGACGCATTCTCTAAACACTTCCTACAATTCCCTGGACTCAAAGTCCTCCAACATTCTGCCATCACATAAACCGACTTATTACCAGGCGGCATTTGCTACAACACCACTCTACACTCTCCCTCGTTATATTCCCACAAACAATTGTGTCATAGGATCCCGTATACTCTTCATAAAAGCTATAATTTTGAAGCCGCATAAAACAACCGTCGAGATAAATTCGACCCCCATTACGGGGATAGCAACTGGGAAAAACAGTACGAGTTTCGGCATAACACAACATGCAATCTTGTGAAGAAAGATCGTTGTAGCATTGGGCAAGTACGTAATTTGTGTTGGGTCCCGTGCCCACTTCTACGGTTGCATTATGTGATGTTTGCATTTCGGTGCTGACTATTTCCATTGCTTGGACATAATTTGGGACGAAGTACGTGTCATCGTTGTGGATTTCTTCATCACAAAACACTTTGATGACTTGGGTTCTAGCATCCCCGTTTGATCTTGATATTAGTAGAAGAAATGTGATTGAAGCAATAAGCAATGATGATTTCTCCATTTTGTCGCAAACCTGAAGGACGTAAATTTGTTAGTAATGATGAAAGTAAAGTATATTGCTATTTTGTGTAAAAAAAGTTTGGACTTTTAGTGAGAGGGAGGGAATGAAAAAAAGAAAACATGCAATAGTATATGGTTACTTCTTCATGTTTGTATGCTGCTTTATTTAGATGGACAATCAAAATAAAATAATATGTTAGAAATAAAAGCCAACGAGCGACTGACAAAAATACATGAAAAGAAAAAAGACCGACAGCAAAAAAAACACCATATTGAAGAATAACATATAAAATGAAAACAAATAACAACTATCATTTTGAGGGGCTAGCAAATAAAGTCGAAAATAAGCACAACTTATTATTAGAGGGAAAAAAAGCACTACCCAACATCAACTATCAAACATGATTCAATATATTATTGATAATTAATATTGGATAGTGAATTAGAGCATTTCATATTGTGTCTTCTTCTTTTTTAGAGTCCATAGAATTTGTAATTAAGATCTAGGTCATCTTAAGATCTTACAAGCAAATAACGATCCCAATCAATGATCACACTAAGGCTTATCTTATTTGAAGCAAGATCTATACTACAAACTTATGATATTAACAGGGTCTTAAAATCTTAACTCAATCTGATCTCACCGCATTAGTCTTTATTATATAGTCACGACTCAAAAAATTGATCATCGCAAGTTGCAATAAGTCTCACAGGACATCATCATTCCATCCATTCATTTCAAATTAGGCATAACATCTTGACACACATGTTATTATCGTTGTAATCTTATGTCGTTAGTTGTACAAAATCACAATGATCTTGTTTCTTATTTTGTTTAAGATGTTTTTTCCTAGTTTTTGCTATTTGCAGCAACAAAATATGGATTCAAGTTTTAGAGGGTACAACACAAACAAGACTTTGTGAGCAAATTTGAAAACTAGTTCAATTTTGTAGGATCTCTAGGATCTCTAGAATGATCACGATTTTGCAAAACACAAAACCATCTTAATATCTTGTTTTTGATAATCTTGTTTGTGAAGAGGTCCATGATTTTTAAAGTGATACCGGGTGATGATGTAGCATGGATCATGTCCATGTTCATAACATGAATTTAATTCAATTTCATTTTGTTTATTAATAACTATACCATCTAAAAACATTGATGAGTTTAGTGCAATTTAATTCCACAGTCCACTCATCAACAACTCTGACCCATTTACAAAAGGTGGTGGGCCCATTGTGGCGTATGATTTTACCGATTCGCATTACAAAAAATTTAAAAATAAAATATAAAATCTATATTCCAACTAAACTACAAGAACTGAAAATCGATGAACAAGCGGTGAAAATGAAGCGTCAAACTGATAAGCGATAGGGATGTTTAAAGTATTTAATGTCCTATGTTATGATCAGTCCGATTTTAATGAACAGTAGATATCGACAATTCTCATAAAACAATCAATTCTGATAAAAAATTCATCAGTTTGTTAAGATTTAAACAACGAAATAAACCAATAATATACGATGAGGATCAAAGAAATGTTGAAAAAAATGAAAGAATCGAATTAATAGCAGTAAACTTATTGAAGAACTTGATGAAATTCAGTAAAGAGTAATTCCTCTGTTGCTTAAGCTTCTAAAGTTCCTAAAATTCAACACAAAAAAGCAAATTAACTTCGTTCTTTTAACTCCGGATTAACGATTTCATTATTATCAATAGCATGCAATTTATCATCATCGATCAAAACACTAAATTCTAACTAAAAATCGATAATCACCACAAGTAGTAACTTTAATTCCGTTTAAAAACAGTATAAAAGTGAAAATAAATTCAGATTGGATACATACCTTTTTCACCACATTTGAATTTATGGAATGGAAGAGAAGCTAATCGAATTTTCGTTTCCTTTTTAGTTCCGTAGGGTAACTGGATTAATGTAAGAAGATGAAGCCAGTTCTATATACAGAATTTGTTTGTGTAGAAAATTAAAGACTGCTTGACCAAGTTTAATGCTCTAATATTAAATATTTTTTTTCAACCTTTTCTGGAATCTTACAGATTAAATAAAACATTTCAAATGTTGCATAGAATATATTTAAAGAGTTTATAAAATCTTTATTAGGGTCGCCAACCACAATGGAAATTCTGTTGCAAGTCGTTCAAGCATTCCAAAGCCTCTTGCAATCTCCTTTGGCAACCTATTGCCTACCGGGCAGGATATGAGTGGTCGTGTTTGGATTTTTTCTTTTTTTTTAAAAAAAATTAATAATTATTTAAAAATAAAGTGTTTATTGAAAAATTATAAAAAAAAAAAAAATTGTCACTGTGGCTTTCTGTTTTGGGTGGGCTTACCCTTTTTTAAGAGATATGCTAAAATGTCCAAATATGTTGCATAGACACGTAAGGCTAGGTTATAATGTCGATGGACAAAAGTGTTATTTTATGAGAATTTCTAAGAAAATATGTTGTTTAGTAATGTAAATACGTTCAACCTCACATAACTATCGTCATTTTCATGCATTCTCACTAATTCTTATTCATTTTTGTTCTCACACATAGTTTTTCACTCATTTTCATTCTTACAGCATACAACTTAATAAAATTCTGACAACATTCTGACAAAATAAGAATAATAATAATAAGTATATAATAACCTTATAGACGATTTAATTAGTGAGAATGTGTGATAATGACAATAGTTATGTAAGATTGAACGTATTCATATTATCAAACAACATATTCTCTTTGTCATTCTCACAGAATAGCATTGTCCACAATAGATGTCAATCCACATTTGAACCTAGCTCTAGACACGTATCTTTTACTGATCAACTCTTAATAAAAAAAACTTAGGACTCGAATGTTGGAATCCTAAGTCGAGCAGGACTTGGAGACCAAGTAAACTTGGGATTATGGCAAGTTGGTCATAGTTTCCTAATTGTATTCTAATTCAAGTTGGTAATTAGAACCTATAAATGCATGTCTAGATCGATGTCACACCCCTGAACCAGACGGCGGAAACGTCTGAGGGCTCGCGTGACTCAAATTGAATATCATCACAATGATTATACATGAAACACAACATAAACTTCACCATGCATTAATACATTACAACTGACATTGTTCACATCAAGTACATTGTCTAAATATTACATATCCATGGCATAAATTGTTTGAGAGTTTTCAAAACATAACATCCTAACATACTTGGTATTACTCTTCAGCTTACCTGTTACCTGAGAATACAAGTTATTTTGAAAACGTTAACATATGGAATGTTGGTGAGTTCATAAGCAGGGTTGTTATAAAAATGTTTTGTGTAGTTTATAAAACCCAGAAAATCCGATATTTTCTGATAAGACAATTGTTTATACCAAAGTGTGAAGATCCATAAGTTTGTGCATGAATGATTTCAAAACGTGTATAAATGAGAAGTTTTGCATTATAGTTATTGAAAGTACAAGTGAATGGTGTTGATTTCCTCGAAAAACCCGATGTTTTCCGATAATATAATATAATTGTTTCAAATTGTTATACCGCCACAACGAATGATTATGATTTTCCTTGATTACTCGGATAGTATTGGATTCATTTATTTATGTGAGTCGTTATAACCATGCATGATAATGACTAGTTCGTCTGTCTTGGCATTCTAGCGGACGCCATAATTGATCTTAAGATTTTGTCACCCTAGACTGGCCGAGTCTAACTGTAGCGAACAGCTGAGGTGTGGGGGAGTCACCCCTGTATAGATCTATACACAAACTCTCGCTCTCCCTCTAGGAGACTTTGATTATAACTACAGACTACGAACGACACTTAGAGGTGTCGCCCGTTATTACTCACTTAATCCAAACGAAATTGATTACCATTGCTTAACGATCTGTATTTGTTTACTTGAATTGAAGGTAAGCCTAACGAACGAGGAGAAGAGGATTACAAAGTCCTGCTAATTACGTGTGTTATTTAAGGCTGTTGGTTATACGAAGGACGCGTTGGCCCATTTCACATTTGATTTAATTGAACCTTACTAGCAATGCTAATGGGCCACTGAGGCCCAATAACACATAAAAGCCATTGAGGGTCCCTTAAACATGTATTGGGTCACAGGAGGCCCAAAAGACATGTGTTGTTATTGTTAGGCCCAAAAGTCATGTCGATGGGCCACGAAGGCCCAATAGACATGATTAGGATCTTTTAAGCCCAACTATTTGATTGTCTACTTGTTTTAGGTATAGTATAATTGTCGGAAGTTTGATTGAACAATTGTTAAATTCGCAACGGCACGAAACTTGTCGATTGTTTATAACGATATTTGAAAATATATGTATATTTTTCATTCTATTTTTATAAGTTGTAATTTGGTATTTTTGACCCAAATATCTTAATAATAAAATAATTGACTCAAAATATTGGTTTGACCCATTCAGCCCTTTTTCTAATAAAAATGACAATTTTAGTCCCTTATAAACAAAAAAGACATTTTAGGCCCTTAAACCATTTTCTTGACATTTTTGACCCATAGACTTGTTTAAGTAATGTTTTTAGCTCAAAATTTACTCTTTGGCAGTTTCAGCCCCTTCAGTAGGGAGTTTTTCGGTTAAAGTCCAAGTTTTTCGCAACTTTTACAATTTTTGCCCAAAATCCAAAAACTTTGCATTTTTGATCCTTTTTGGCAAAAAGGGTCATTTTAACCCCTGAAATAGATTTATTTACCTTTTTTACCCACTTTTTTGAGAAATTTACCATTTCAGTCCCTTAAAACCCATTTTTTCGCAAGTTTGGGCCTATGGGCCGAAAAGCCCAAAAATTGGCCCATTAAGCTACAAATTACATATCTAGTCCTTTGAATAGCATAATATTCATAAAAACATTTATTTCAACTGTTTTGACTCTTTTGGTCCTTAAGAAAACCGTGACTGACAATTTTTAACCCAACTTTTGTTTATTTGACAAATATAGTCCAAAAATGAGTTTTATGTTGCAATATGTTTATTATAACCTTAGAGGGTAATTTTTCTTGACTTGTTTAGTGTAATATATCTTAGATCATGTTTATTTTCCTTCTTGTGCCATAGATCTCGAGATTTCTTTCCTTTTTGTTACATATTTACCACATAAACACATAAAATCACACATACATACATGAAATCACACATATCATACACATACACATAGATCTACGCATTTTACTTGTATTCTCCCCCATAAAACTTGTGAAAACCGAAAATAGAGGGGTATGAACTCACCTTTTCTTGTTGTTTTCGATTTAAAGAAGAAAGGGAAGAGTTTGATGCTATTTTTCGGCCCTAGCAAGCTTTCTTGTGTTGATTTCGAACTTAAGGAGCTTCTAAGGAGTAGATCACGAAAATTGTGTGAGTTAGGAAGAAGTTTTGATGAAATAAAGAGGCTAGGTTATGGATCTAAACAATAACTTACCAATGATGATGATTATTGTGGAATAACCTTCTTGAAAAGCTCTAAATCTCGAAAATTTGGAAGGAGAAGTGAAGAAGTTGTTGTGAGTTCTTGAGAGAAGCTTAAGTGAAATAAGTGTGTGTGTGTGTGTGTTGATACTCTCGGCCGAGAGTAGTAAAAGGAGAAGAGAGAGAGAAGAGAGAAAAGGATTTGGGCCTTTTGTGCTTAAGTCTCCTAATGAGAAGCCCAAGCTAATGGTTTTCGGCCCAATGGGCCCTTAAGAGGTTTTACGGCCTAACTTGTATAAAGAATGAGTTTTATGGCCCATTAGGGCTAATTAGATTTGTTATGGCCCAATGAGGCCCATTTAGATAAACTAGCCCATTTTAGGCTTATAAGGCCCAAAAAGGTTAAGTTTTATGAAAGTGGGTCCAATTAGGGTCCATTTAAGGGTCCTAAGCCCAAAATAGTCAAATTGGAAGCTTATTGGTCCATTAGGCCCAATAAGGAAATCCTAATCCATATGGACTTAAACCGGGATTTTTAGGGTTTCCAACCTTTTGTTGACTATTTGAATGTTTGTATAGAGTATTTGATGGAATTTTGTGGTCATTGAATAAGCACCATACATGTTTTCAAGTTTTAACTACAATGTTATCTTTGTTAAGGGTTTTACAAAGTATCAGAATTCCTAGTTGTGACAATCGAGTATAGGATCGTAGAAAAGATTGTATCTAATATTGGTTTTGAGTTATTTTCCAATTAATCAAAGAGGTGTTCGATTAAAATTGTTTTGCAATTACGTTTTATAAACTAGAATTGGTATCAGAGCTACAACATCCTGAGACAGAAACAAAGACAAGTTATCCTAAGTAGAGGTGATCGACAATTGGCTTTTATGATTCTCGATAGAAATCGTTAAAGAGCCAAGGAACCGAAGGCTGGTGAGGTCGATCTTGTTACCTGTTGACGAGCTAGGTCAACATGTCGAATACAAGGGGGAGACGGAGGAGCCGCTCCGGTGAATATGAAGGAAGTTGGATCCACCACAGTTGTGTGTCCCATGCTATCATCAACCAACTACACCGTTTGGGCCCTACGAATGAAGGTAGTTCTCAGAATCCATAAGGCCTGGACTGTAATCGATCCAGGAACAGAAAAGAATAAAGAGAAAGATTACCTTGCAATAAGATTGTTGTATCAGGCAATCCCGGAGGATCTAATCATGCAAATCGGAGATGTGGAATCTGCCAAGGGACTCTGGGAAGCGATTAAGGCGAGATATGTAGGTGCTGATCGTGTGAAAGAGGCCCGATTATAAACCCTAAACGCTGAATTCGATCGACTGAAGATGTTGGAGTCGGAATCAATCGATAGTTATGCCGGAAAATTGTCCGGTATCGCCTCGAAATCAGCAGCCCTCGGAGAAACCATTGATGAATCCAAGCTGGTAAAGAAGTTTCTGAAAACTCTTCCTAGGTCGAAATTTATCCAAATCGTTGCCTCCCTTGAGCAAGTCTTGGACCTAAAGACGGTAGGATTTGAAGATGTCGTTGGAAGGCTCAAGGCTTACGAAGAGAGAATTAAGGAAGAAGATATCAGTGAGGCAGATCAGTCGAAGGTGTTGTTTACAAAGAAATTGACTAGTTCTCAC